GAAATTGCTGCATTTGATTTTTTTCTTTTGTGATTTTCTCAGCTTAATTGTAACTTGTAAGCCCTGAGCGTGGTGGATGTTGCCTTTCGAGAAGAAAAATTGCTAGTCATTTTCTGTACATGAATGATTAATTTTTTAGAGTCTCGTGTTTGGATAAAATTTTTTTAATCTCTTCATATTTTTCTTTCCACGGTCTAGAGCAAATAATGACAAATTTGAGTTGGGAAATAACAAATCTGGTGTTATGACCATTTAAGGTTTTCTTCGCAGTACCTTGCATAATATTTTTCTCAAAACATCAAATTTTTAATTTTTAATTATTTTTAATTTATTTTTTTATTTTTTATTAATTTTTAAATTAAAATTTTATATATTCTTAAAATAGTAAAAGACAAGAAATTCTAAAGCTACCACCGCAGCACAATAAAATACAGGGTTTAATTTGAAAAACTATCTATTAATTATTGATCTTTTATCATTTTAATCTAAAGTTTTTATTTTTTTAAATCATCTATTAATTTTTAAAATTATTTCAATTTAATCTAATCCAACACAATGTTAGCTTTGGTGATAAAATTCATCTTTAATTATATAAGTCCATATAAGTTGCCATGTAAACAACCACATAAATGGCCTAAAAAAGGAGGAAATTTTGTTTAAAAACTTTTCACTATATAAAATAAATTTTTATATTCATATTTCGTTCTAAAGAAACAATAAAAAAAAATTTCTTTTATTTTCAGGCCACATGCTAACTTATGTGTTGTCACACAATAAAAACATAAAATTCTATCAATTTAGTTAACGGAGCTGTGTTAGATTATATGAAATTAAAATAAATTTAAAAGTTAATAAATGATTTGAAAAGAAAATAAAGATTTTAAATTAAAACAAAAACGTTAATAATAAATAAACAATTTATTAAATTAAGCAATATACAAAAGATGAGAAATGTTATGTTTTTTCCATTCACTTTTAGTAGATTTAGTTTTTTAATAATATAAAATTTTAATAATTTATTGGTAAAATTTTATATTTATTCCTATTTAAGTACCATTTAAACAAGATTTTGTATTTAATATATATTGTAAT